GGGGGGGGGGGATTGGGACTAAGTCGTCCTCCATTGTAGATAAGTAAAGAACAGTTCCTTAGGAAATAGGAGTTTTCATCCCCAAACAGCTGAGCTGAGCCACCCAACTGAAAACTATAGAAAGGGTGACATATTTTTTATTGTCCCTCAAAGATTATTATATTTCCCCCCTTTCCCCCGTTTTACGACGCCTTTGAACGAACTTTCCTATGTTTTTTGTTTATGCACATATATGATCATTCTCTTTGAACCGTATCAAATTTTTTTTCATCATTTTCTTGTGAAACTTTTGATTTCCTTTCTAACTCCATTTAAAAATCCTTATCTTAATTACATTTCTATCTGAATAATAATGTAAATCTGTCCATAAAAACCTGCGGCATTTGAGCATGCTTTATTTACGCCAACTTTCAGCCAACAGAAATATTCGAAACACGCAGACGAAAGCAATCCCATATTTTGTTCATAACTGTTAAGTTATTTTTATATTTTGTGCTATTTTATAAATGTATTAACTAATTATTTATAAAACGAAGCAGTCAATATAAAATAATGGTCTATTGGTGGATGTAATTGTTAGGGATGACTCAAATATTTATTCCTGGGTTTTAACTTCTAAATTACAAGATTGTATAACTAAAATTAACATACTTTTTATATGAAGTACATAGATGCAAACTTTACAGCATAAATTATTTACTGACTGAATCATGTTGCAAGAAAGTACCATGTTGCAATTTCAGTGAAAATGGCTGACACAGTTGATAAAATAGCGTTATCGAAAGAGTGGCATAGTCAAATCAGACGGTTTGGTTACGCCACATGCAAGATTGGAGAATGTAATCTCTCCTTCCTATCAATAACCGGAATCAGATCCCATGTTTGGAAGTGTTCCGGAATTCCCATGAACCTAGGAACTTATGTTTCTTGTGAAATATGTGGTGTTCAGTTTTCTCAATATCACAATGTTGTTATACACAAGATGAGAAATCACGAAGGGGATAAATCTCCAAATCTGAAGTCCGAAGATCCTGCTTTAGATGAAATAATTGATGAAAAGAATGATTTTATCAGTAGTAAACACCAGTCAACTCCTAGAGTACCTAACTGTGGTCCTGGAAGAATGTTTCAGCAAGCAGAGCGGAAGATTTCCCCTATAAAGCCTGCTGAACCTCTAAACCATCATGGGTTTGTTAATTATCAAAATCCTGGTCTGGGGGGGAGTAGTATTACTACAGAGGGATACAGAGAACAGGTTCAGTTCTGTAGTACTAATCAATCAGATAATAACTATAGCGGAGTCTCAGCTTCAAACCTGACTAACCAGCTCAACCAGCAAACTTTTATTCCATATCAGGTACAGTACAAATAAATTCAAATCCACTTAAATTATCCTTTTAAGGACCGTATTTGGATAATTTTAACAACTCAGGAGTGCCTATTTTATTTAAAATCATCCCTCCTTGTCATTTTTGAAAATACCCCCCGCCATGTTAGATATGTTTTTTTTGTGGGGGGGGGAATGAAAAGAATAAAATGAATGAATTATCAAAAGAATGAAAATAAATATCTCTGTACTAGCTTTTAATCTTGATCTACAATTATGCGTAAAGAGGTTCAATTACTTAATAAAAAAGTTTATTTCAGCTCCCTGCAACAACAGCCTTCTACAACAACCCTTTATCCACAACCGTAACAAGCCAAAATCCGGTGTCATTGAATACAGTTGAGCCCAAGCAACCTGGTCCTAAAATCTATTCCGGTGGAATCCGACCAAACAAAAAGATTATAGGATCATTTGTACGTGCCAATCTTGGAAATAAAAGTGATCTACTAAAAGTTAGAAAACAGGACGGAACCATAGTCTGGTTACGCAACTGTCCTAAATCTAGTGCTGCCAACATGCCAACTCGTTTAACTCCGGTTGCAAAATCTAGTATTTCCGGACAAATTCGTTTTGTCCCAAACCCCGCCATAGTTCACATATCAACTCCCGTGAATATTCCGATTTCAACGACTTATTCCGGGTTTACCTCGACTCCTGGTTTAAGACCAGGCCTCACCTCTATATCTAGTCTGTCTTCAACATCCTATTCTATTAAATCAAGTGGAACAACTGCGAGCTCTCAGGGTATTCCTGTAACCAATAAAACATCCATCCAGGCTCAAAGTAATTTTCAATCCCAGAGCTCCAATTTTCCATTAAATTCCATGAAACAGCAGAATTTTAAAATCAACTCTACAGTTTCAACTCAACCATCCCTAACTTATCCTTCTCAGGGGGCTAAATATACTCATTACAAGAATAGTATCATCCAGCGTACACTTTCTACTAGGCCTACTCAGACACTGCCGTCAGCCGTGCCGTGTCCTTTGATAGTCCTAAGCAGTGGGGGTTCACTAGACACGTCTCATGACGCAACAATAGAGCAATCACAAACTTTAAGACAGAATTTATCTTTGAATGAAGAAAGTGTATCCGGTATCAAACCTCTTAGGTAAAAAAATAAGATTTTTTTTCATCTTTTCTTTGAACCTGTAAAACATCTTTGAATTTAATAATATTTTTCAGTTCCGAATCTGAGTCTCAAAGTATAGTTGAACCTTCCGGTAGTGATACTAAGTTCGGAGGAAAACCAGGTTCAGAGGATTCAAAATCCTGGCTGAACGGAAACAATTCGGATTTTACTGCGTCCTCCAAACAGTTCTTACAGTCCAGTAGCTCTTTAGGTGAGATGAGTAATATTGTTTTTTTTTCAGCTTATCAAGTAGATCTAGAATTTTTTAGACCCTCTGGACAGATTGTCTAGTTCTTATCATGATATTTATGAAGTAAAAGGGTGAACCTAAAAACACCACACACAATACTAATTCTTCTCTAATTGTTTAATGCATTATGATTCAAACAGTTTTATTGGATATATTTTAGTGGTTACATATTATATTTGAGTATATGGAAACTTTTAGTAGTCTTCCTTATGGATTTGACGGCCTTCTTTGTCTATAACAGCTTGTAGTCGGTGGGGCAGAGATGCCATCAAATGTCTACATAGAGCCTTATCATCGTCAATCTCTCTCCATGCTGCAATGATGGCTTTCTTCAGCTGTTGGTCATTAGAGCATTCTTTTTTAGTAACCTTTCCCTTAAGAATATTCCAAACATTTTCTATTGGCCATAAGTAGTGATTTTGGCACTGAAATCAGTATTGATGATCTTTCCCCACTTTCTGTCATTCCTCACTCTTCTCCCATAGACACTAAGAACATCTTTGCACACTCCACACGCCTCTCCTTATGCTCATCTGACATTTTTTGTACCTTATACTTGTGGTATGCCTTATATCCATATTTTTTCATGACTCTTACAACTGATGTTTGAGAGACTCCAACTCTTTTAGAAACAGACCGGGTGCTCCTGCGTTCCTTAATGTTCTTCAGTCTCTTCACCTGGGGAATCTTTCTTCCTGGAACAGAGGGTCGTCCGTTCCCCTTTAGGTGATCAGCACAGAACTCATGCATTGCAAACTTCTCTTCTTCTGGTAGACAACAAAGCTTCTCAGGCTTTCTTTTTTGATTGCATTGAGAGTGTCAGGACCGGGGACTGCACCAATATACAGCCACTTTATTATTTTACCATCACTGGCATGTGGCTTTTTCTGGAGATTGGTCTCTATCTGTGATTTCAAGATGGATTTAAGCTTTTTATCATTTTTTCTTGGTAGATCCACTATCAACTGGTCCCAAGATAGTAGTTTTGCGGATTTTCATCCATTATTATATGAATTTTCTTAGTAATAATCAAAAAAATCCGTTTTGTGTGGTTCACCCGTTACTATAAGCAAATCATTGTCGTTATGCAGATCATATTAAGTCAGTTTTAAATGCAAACAAATATGTATATGTATGTTGTTTCCTCCAACGAGTAAAGCATTTTGTTATTCTATTTATATTCTAGTTTCTGGTTTGGATAAAAAGGAATCGCCTATATCTCAACGGGAAAAAGAACTTCTGGAGAAGGAAGCTAAGATAATAGAGTTTGAGAATATGGTCCGCGAAACCGTCCTCAGAGCAAAACAGGTAAATCTTAATGTTATTTATGTTAAATCTCTATTAAATCTTGAAACCCATATTTCTCCTTATTCTTGCAAACCTCAAATTACGAACAGATTGTTTTAAAACCTTATCTTATTGTATTAAACTTTACTAATTACTAAATTTTCTATCTCTAAAATTTCCATATTTTGCTGAAAAGTGTAGTATATGTTCACCAGAGTTCTATAGATATATTTCTGATTAAGATCAAGAAAGAGCGTGAGTTGAAGGAAAGGGAGAAGAGACTGAGAGAAAAAGAAGATCAATTACGACAAAGAGAAGAAGAAGCAAGGAAGGAGTTGGAGGAAGCTAGAAAACTTATAGAAGAAGATGGAGGAACAGGTAATTAAAAAATAGCGACTGTAAGAACAAGAAAGCTTTTCAATTTCAATTCTCTTTATTTATAAAAAGATTGTTTATAAATCGGAACTTTTGTGTGAATATTATTAATCTTGAGCACTTGATCTTGATATTCAATTTGGGAACTTTTAATTGGAGAATATATGCTTGATCCCTCAATTTTAGTTATCCCTGCAGGATATGACAATTCCGGAATATTTAAGATGAAATAAATTAATTCTTATCTCTACAATCTGCATAACATAGAGATTAATGCATGATCACGAGTTTCACAGCACAAAGGTTATGACTTTATGTCTCATAAGACCGTATTCTTGTTATCCTATATTTTGTTATTTAGTAGATGAAGATGATGTTATTTTACCACAAACTTCAAACTTTTATATTCCCTCTACCCGTGGAAACTGGAATATCGAAGATGAACAGGTTCGTTATTTGATCTTGATTATATCTATTTATATATTTGGCTTGTCTGTTTGTTTTTTTGTAACCGTTAAACCGATCGGGCCCAAATTTTTCCTGGACCTCACATGACACCAGGGAAGGTTTATGGATGCTCAGAATTACAAAAAATTGCATTACATTTTTTTATTTTATTAAAATTTTGAAAATCCAAGAAAAAAGAATGTAAATCCGTAAAATTTTTTTTTTATCGTTTTAACGAAGAGAAAATGCTGAAGAGTTAACAATTTAAAGTTGAAATATAAGAGCTAAGTGTTTAAATATAGATTGTTTAAATTTATTTTTTATTTATTTAAAAGGTTACATTGACGAGAGAAGAACTAGAGGAATTGGATCCTGCCAAGCGACCAAAGAATGCTGTGATAGTTGAAAGTTCGAAGAGTCTAGGATCCATATCAGGAACCTCTGAATCCTGCAGTCCACCGCGCCAGTTCCCAGATGCATCCGGAGACTTTGGTTCATCCTTTCAAACTGATCAGTCCGTTTTTCCGATCAGGGAAGGGACAAATAAAACCCAAGATAATTTTTCCGACAATCTCCCTCCTCCTTCTCCATCAGATGAAGTATGCAGTCCGACCCAACCTAGTTCTTCAAATTTATTTTGTGATAATTTTATGAATAAATCAACAGATTCGAGAATATCGAATGAAAAATCAAACCTAGTTCGAGATAAAGGAGAAGACGGTAACAAATCATCCACAACTTCAAGTGATATTATCCCTGACCTTGCTGATTCAAGTGGAGTTCTCCAGAGGGAATGTATTTCTTCTTGGAAGGATCAAGATGAACCTGTTGATCTATCCAAACCTAGAACCGTGAGCCCATCTGATATTCAAGTTACCAACCCAACCAATACCCAAACAGACGTAGAGAAACAATCATTATCGAATTCCGCGACGGAAGGTATTCCAGTTGCGGAGAAAATAAAATTAAACAATATGTGTGAGATGAATTATATCGGAGATAGTTTAGTTATTCCATTCCCGGAGTTTGATGACGGAAATCTGAAGGATTTACTCGAAAACTCAGATGGAAGGATGGTCTATCTTACTTTATCTCCAGATGGGAAGCATCTCCACCTTCCAGAACCATCAGCGGCTCCGGGTTCAATCCAACCAACCAAAATATCAAATGGAGAAAATCAGTTTTCTAAGGACACAGACTCTGTATTAGATACTGTTGCAAAACACTTAGTCAGAGAAGAAGAGGACGAATCGATAGGAAAACGAATTTGCAGAGAAGAAGATTTAGAAAACGATAAACACATAGTGAGAGAGGATAGTATCGATATAGCTGAACCTTCAATTAGAGCAGAGGCTTCTGGTTTTGCAGAATTAGAACCTGGTACAGCTCTGTCCAGTGAAAGCGAAAAAACTTATCAAGAAGATGAAATTTCTAATCATAAAGAAACAATTTGTGAAACAAGATCGTCTCCTAGAAAGGTACTATTATGTCAAAACGATCCCGAGATTGAAAGGAATAAAGGGGAACAGCCACCTGATATTTCTAATAAGATCTTAAAGGAAGGATTGAGCTGGGTTCACCAAGATGTACCATTAAATGTAGACGATGAAGATAATGATTCGTATGAAGACAGTATTCAAAATTATCAAAGAGAAATTGACCAATTCAGTGAAAGACTAGAATCCTCCTCAGTAGAACCCAGCCCGAACCATGATGTTCTAGAAACTCTAAATTCATGTTGTCAATCTCCAGATAGATTTGATGATTCGACCCTTAACATACCCCAGACCGAGCTTGAACCCAACCTAACTGGGGAAAATGATCACGACCAGACCCATGCAGCTGACAATGAAATGATTACAGAAACCTTAGAGAACATAGATACTGAAGATGATATTAATGTTGATGACATTGTTGATCTTCTCGATGATGGTGTTAATACTAACCATGAAGACTCCATAGTACCTGAAGAGGATTTAGATGTCAGAAAACCCCCAAAGAAAATTCCAAGGAAGAAAAAAAAATCTAATTTACAAAAAGATAAAAACTCTGATGCAAACCCTAGTCCAAAAAAACTGAAAACAAGTTCTCGAAAACATATTTCTGGACAATCTGATCTCGAGGAGATGGAAGTGGAAAAGAAAACGCCTCGGAAAAAGAAGGAGACCAAGATTAAGAAGGAAAAGTTTGTAACACTTCGGGATCGACGAAATATAACCGTGCTGGACGCCGCTGACTGTAACTCTAGCTCAAGAAGATCTCTAAGAATATCGTTGAAAAAAGACACTAATTCCCCTAAGAGTCAGGGAAAAGAAAACGCTGAAAAGAAAGAAAAGCGACTGGCTAAGGATAAGAATTCGTCCATTGACGAATTTCTGGACAGTGATCACGAAGTAGAAAAAAAGAAAAATAAGAAAGGTGTGAGAATAAAAAGCGAAATAGCAACTAAGAAGAATAAAAGAATCCTAGTTGTGTCAGAAGATGAGTTGAAGGACTCCAGGGACACTAAAATATCTAAACTTCATGAGGTGAGTTCTGTTTAGATATTACACCTAAGCTAGGAATTTTTATCGAAATCAAACATCTAAAACGTGATTCTGGAAATGGGTTAATAGGTATTGCATGCTAATCTATTGTTGATTATACATATTTATTTTCAAGATAAATATTTAAATGAATGAATGACATCTGTTAGATTCTAGTATTCTACCATTGTATTCTGTAGGAGAAGAAGTTATTACGAACTCTTTAATGGGAACTGAAACTTCATCATTACAATTTTTAATTTAAAGCAAAGTAAAAATGAGTAGGAAAAATATCTAATTGATTTGATGGAATGGAATGAGTGTCTGGACAATTGTAAAGCTTTTTTTTATTAACTGTTTGTAATGAATATGAATAATATGTATCTGGAATATAGGATAATTAATATTTCTGATATCTTGAATATCACAAAGTTTGACTTGCATGCAGGATATCTAAAAGTATTGTTGTTCTTGAAAAGTCATCCCTCCCCCCTTTGCAAATTATTTTCCCCCCAATGCAAGATAGGCGATGGGAGCCTACATTTTTTAAAGGCGTTTTATTTGCTGTTTTATGGAGAATAAATTGTTCGTTGGGTAAAGCATATCAAAAAGGATGGAAAACTTGTCACTTTATGTTTAATTTCTTGAAAATATAAATTCCTGCTTCAAGGATGATTATTTAGGATATCCCGGAGTATGGTAAACGTAAGCGAGCTGCTGCATGTGTAGCTGAGAAGAAGTTCCAAATGATATCCAGGGATAGGAGTCCGGGAGATCTATCAGATATATCCCTTCAGGGCTCAGAGGATTCAGAGGATGTATTTGATATCAGCAAAGAGTTTAATCCAAAGAAGATTTACAAATTGTTCACGAATAATGAAGGGGAAAGGTATTTTTTAAACAAATTTATTTTCCTTCCTCTTTCCGTGACTCAATAATTTTTTTTTGGAAACCCACTTAAAAGTAATCCTTGAAGTAGACGAAGCATTTTTTTGTGAATTATATTTACTGTTATTTTAAGATTGGAAGAAATAATAAAGTTACTCAATGATTAGAATGTTCCGATGCCTGCTCTGCTCTGAGGTGTACAACAAGAAGGAGAAGATCATTGATCACTCAATGCGGGAACATGATATTGAATTGTTTCCAGCTCAAGGTATACCTTGAAATACATATAATCTTTTACAGAGATCAGTTTTTTTTACTTTATTCCTTTTTTTCGATAGCTTAAAAGATTTTAATTTCTTAGTGAATGGGATGAATAAATATGGAATTGATTTCTCAGGTAAAGGTTAAGGAACAGTGTTTTTTTTTCTTCAAAAAGAATGTTTTTATTTGTTAGTACGGTAGCACCTCCTCGGATATTTTCTCTTATGTTTCTGCACCCATTGTCTTCAGACATTAAGGATTAAATTAAAATTATATTTTTGACATGATATATTTTCTAGACGGATATAGTGATGAGGAGTACACGGAGAAAACTAAGTTTAAGAAGACTAATGGAAGAGCTGGAAGTCCTCTCAACTCCCTGGATCCAGATACAGAGTTTATGGTGAACGAAGCCAAGTATAGAAAGGATAACTTCTCAACCAACAGAGTTACCGGGACCAGGGACTCTAGATCTATCTCAGAACCTTTGATAAATGAAGATGAATTCTTTCCTAAGGAAACCACCTCCGTCAGGTTTCAGCTTAATCGCTCAGAGTCGAGTAGTGTTGATAACTATACCCTGAGCAGGTTTGAATCTAAGATATTGAACGGGACGGGCATAATCTTCTCTGGAGGTCCTGTCTGGGCCATGTCATGGGTTCCTCAGCCTTCATTCAAACCTACACAATATCTCGCTGTCTCCACACATCATGATCACAAGGAGACCTTGTACAGCTCAGAATTGATTGAACCTGGTTTTATTCAGCTCTGGAGGGTTGTAATAGACCCAGATCAAAACATATCTGAAGATCCCAAACTTATACTTGGAATAGCTCACTCCTACGGAAAAATTTGGGATCTTGAATGGTGTCCGTCTGGAAGATGGGAGGAATCAATATCTTTGGGAGATTTAGCGGCAGCCTGCTCCGACGGAACAGTTAGAATTTTTGAAGTTCGATTCCCGAAAAAAGGTCGAAAGTTTGTTAGATTATCAGCAAGTAAATCATTGTTTCCCAGTGAACAGAGCCAGGGACACTGTTTATCCGTCTCCTGGTACCGTGGCCCCAAGCATAGGTATATCGCTGGGTCGTTTGTGAGTGGGTTGGTTTGTGTATGGGATCTAGAGTCTGAATCCTCCCTGACAAAGACTCTTAAGGGAACCCTTCCAATTCTCTCCTGGACCGCTCATGCATCCACTGTGAATGGGATTTCTTTAGCCTCCTCGTCGACGGAGTTCCCCGAGTACTGTGCAACCGGAGGGTCGGATAGAAGTTATAGGTTCTGGGATCTCAGGGATACATGTTCTCCTATACAGGAGGTGAAGAGAGGTCTGGTGACCAGGGTAGACTGGATACCTGGTCTTCATGCTGCAGCAGTTTGTCATGATGATGTTTACCTACAAGCTCACACACAAACCTTGATCTCAGAGACAGGCGTCACCAAGAATGCGTCCCAACCTGTTATTGGTCAAAACTCTTGTATATGGGATCAAAGTGTATCCCCTTGGTTGGGCGCGTTGGCTGTATGTAGCTCCGCTGGAGAGCTGGTTATATACATGATGCCAGACAGGAACAAGTCCGTAGATCAGAATAGATCCAGCGGGAAACGAAGAGCATACGTTTATATGACTAAAAACATCACCGAGGATGATAAAAGTGAAACTGGATCTAATGACAAGGATGATATTAGTAAATTCAACTTAAGTTTTATTGATCTCCTTGATTCTTTGAATGCCTCCTCTAACGAGAAGGAGTTAAAGCGTAAGGTAAGGTACTCGGAGAAGATGTGCGAAGAGAATCTTCTAAACTATCCTATCTGTAGTTTGAATAGGGTTGAGTGGAATATGAACCTAGGATCTCATCTTCTCCTGGCTAGCGGGGGACAGTCGGGTCTAGTTAGAATACATTCACTGACTTTCCTTAACACAGACAAACTTCAATCCACAATGAATGCATCAACAAGTAACTCAGAATTCTAATCTATAGAAATCATTGTTATTAAGTGAACCTTAGATAAAATAGTTCATTGTTATATACCATTAAACTTACTGTGGCCTTGTTATGTAAATCTGTTTAAATTATGCAAATGACGTTTAAAAGAAAGAAGTATATATTTATTTTAATTTTCTTAAAAACTTATCTTAAAGTATGATATTTTATGTATCAGTAATGTGCTAATAACAAATTTAAGTTTAAAAATATTTTTGTAAATCTGACAGGTGACTCTCGTAAAAGGTTGGCTTGAGCGATTTTTTAAAATTAAAATTAATTTCAAGAATATTCTAGTGTACCTTAAAAACGCATTGTTAATGAAAGTGTTTCAATTTTAAGTTTCTAGAGCTTCTCAGATTCCTCAGATGTGGCTTCATCTAAAACTAGAAATCTTACACCACCACAGGATTCATATAATGAAATGAAATAACGATGATAAGTTTGTGAAAATATATTAGCTGCACGAACTCCGACTCTAAATGGAACAGCTCGTTTGCACTGATGGATAGCATGCGGGTAATGTTGGTTAATCTTTATGCCAAGGTCCTTAGCCAACCATAATTTATTCAATTAAAAGTCTGGTTCGATCTAAGCGAAGATTAATTAGAATAGTAGATAGGGCATTATATGAAGTCAGGGGGGTTTGGTCGAGATCGTCAAATTTTTGTTATTTAAATTTTAAAACCCCTCTGTATGCCAAAATATGGATTAAGTATAAGTAGGATTAAATTTTTGACTCGATAGTTATTACATTTTACAGTGGCGTAAATAAGGGGGTTTATTGGGGTTACTACCCCCAAGGGCGTATACAGGGGGGGGGCAACTACAGAATCCTTATTTACGCCCCTGACATTATTAAAGATCATCAATTTATTGAACAAAAGCACGTGCGCGGGGGAAGGCACACCACACCATTTTTTCGTCCGCCGACGTCATAATTTACCATTATTTCTTCCGATCTAGCCTTTTTTCGTCTGGGTGTTGCTTCTGTGTTTTCAGATGTATATATTTGTATGTCCTATAACTCAATTTTTTCAAATTTAGGCAATATGTTATTCTTAATAGAATTTGATTTTGTTTAAAATGCATTTCATTTGAAAAATTAAACGATATTTAAGCTCAATTTAACACAAAACGCAAAATACCTATTTTTCATCCGGACCACACACTTTCTTATTTTACTCCTAAACTGCAACTTTTAGTTGATTGTGATCTGAGATTTTTAGAATCTAAAACTAAAAGATAACATAAGATTATGTGTATACCCTACTAACCGGAAAACCTAAAAATATGCATGACATTTGTGTATATACGTATATTTAGGTTTTGAATACGTAAAAATCTTTTTTTTTAATACGTTTGACTGCATATATCCGTAAAAAATGCTTATGTAAAAACCTAAAAATCCAATAATCAGGAATTTTTAGGATTTTCCTCTATGAGATTAAGGTTTTAAAAAATCCTAACATTTCTTAATTTTTGGAACTAATAGGTTTTACCTATACGTAAAAGTACGTATTTTCAAAGTATATTCAAGTTTTAAAACCAAAAGATTAATAATAAGATTAATATTTTGTGTGTTGAATTCTTAAACTGTTTACAATGAAATTTTTAACAAATTTGACTGAGTATTGCATCTTGAAATATCACAAAGTCTAATGATTATTCAATTACTGACTCTTTATACTAAATCCATCTTAAAATCACTCATTAACCAACTGTAAGCAGGATTGAAAAAATGGTTTGAAGTGTGCTTTTTTGCGTGACGCGGCTGGATTTTTTAAAATCACACTTTAAAGGCCCTAAATATACCATTTCAAAAAGTAGTTTTGCCCGGAAGAGTCAAATGTGGTGGTACGGAAGGGGAAATTGTGTTGGCACGGCCGGAAAGAGTGGTGGCTCATGGCCGCCTGCCTTCCCGATCGCTAGTTCAATGAGTTCAATAAAATCGTTCGTTTCCTTAAAACGTTCGTTAAATGAAAAACAAATTTTTTTTTTCAAAAGTTCATTCGAAAAAATCGGTCGATCCGTAAAAAACTATCGTTTTTTTCAAGATTATTTGTTCGTTTCTTATATTATAGCTGGTTTGGGGGTGCATGAAGTTGATGTTATCTTTTTCAAAGTTGAAATGAATTAAAAATATATAGTAAGGTCTTTTATAAGCTTTTAATAAAAATATTTCACAACTTGAGATGTGATCTTGCCAAGGAATTAACGAATTAATTGGACAATTTGTAATAAAGGTATTAGGTGGCCGGATACGATTATCCCTGAAGGATGATTATGGGGATAGTTGTACCCCAAAAAACCCCCAATACCCCCTTTTTCCGCTCTCATGGATGGATCCCATCAGAGGAATCAGAGGCGTATTAAGGAATTTGTCCAGGGGGGGGGGGCTTACATTTTTCCTTTCCAGGGGGGGCTCAGCACCGGTCGGGGCCTGAAAACCATCTGAAATCGATAGATTTCTCTGGTCCAGGGGGGCTTAGCCCCCCCCCCTGAATACGCCCCTGGATTCCATTTCCCTGTTAATGTACACTATTCACACTTTTGAGTGGTTAAATTCACGCGACTTTATATTAATAATTATAGTTTATAAATTTAAACAAAAACATGCAAATATGCATGTGAACAAGTGCGTTTCAAACGAAGAATTTAAAAAGGCTGTTAATGCGGAGAGTTTAGGATGGGGGCGATGTATTGCTGCATCCCCCCTTGAGACCAGGGGCGTATTCAGGATTTATAAAGTGAAGGTGGTGCTTATAGAATTATTTCGGAACTTAACAAATCCAGATTTAGAAACAAGAAGACCTGCTGCAGGCGAAAATTTTTGTTAAGATAGATATTTTTCCTGTTTTGCACTGAGTTTTCATTCCCAGAAGTGCTATTAAAAAGCTATTCTGAAATCTCAGGGTGGGCTACGCCCCCCCCTGAATCCGTTAGCAGGGGGGTTCAAAGGTCCTGCCCCCCCCTGAATCCGCCCCTGCTTGAGAAAGGGGTAAACGAATCGTTTCTTATGAAATAATAAAAAAGTATACATCATTTCTGCTGTTTTCATAACAATTGATATTTTTCATATAAAAATTAATAATTATAGCAAAAAAGATATTTAATGAATTCCAGGGCCCATCATGACGTAGAAGACGCTCTAGAGCGCAGATTCGTTATTTTGCCGCCGCCATTTTGCCAGTGTTCGCGGCTCAATGCGGCACTCGAGCAAACTCACTAGTTTGAATTTGTTTCGAAATCAACAGAATTTAATTAAAAACGGAAAGCCATTTATAAGATTCATTTCATTTCTCTTTTTTCTATTAATCATTAGTGGCCCTGAGATACATGGTTCCACACAAATGTTTATTTCTAGTCTTTAAAATATCGATTTCAGTGCAAGCATTATGCAGATATGACAGCTGAATTATAAAAATTAAGGATTTCAGCCAACGGTTTTCCTAGTTAATTTTAGAATTTTAAAATTCTTTTTGTTTGGTATTGGCCTTGTAACAAGTTAAAATGATAATGATTTCAGCTTCTTTTCACATATATAATTTGTAGAGGTAAAATGCGAGTTAATTGTTCAACTTGTCTTGAGTTGTTGACCCCCAGCGACAACCTGGTGTGTACACCATGTGGTCACGTGTTTCATGTACACTGTGTTATGCAATGGTTTGAATCTAAGAAAAATTGTCCACAGTGCAGACATTCGGCAAACGAGAAAAATATAAGGTATACATAGATAAATCGTTCTCTAAAATTGACCCAAGATCTTTGCCATCTTTCACACATCTGAACATTTCAGTGAAATTAGCCTCTTCGGAACGAATTTGCTTAAAGTGGTTGAAAGATAAACTTGGTTTCTCTTTTTTGATTTGAATATGAAAGTTGTGATCGTAACACTTCTCCAAATCTCAAAGAAGGCCGAGATATGATAATTCTGGTCCTTCCTTGTATACGATTTTTGGACATGATGCCTCGATTTAAATATTTTTGATACTTAACGAAAATTGATAATCTAAAATTATAATCGTTTTAGTTTCAATTTCATTCTGTTTTCACGATTGATTTTTGTTTAGAAAGATCTATTTATCTGAAATTGATGGCGATGATACGATTAACCCGGACGATCTACAGAACAAGTTGGACAATGTACAGTTCCTACTTAGAGCTTCCAACTCGGAGAGAGAAGATCTCCGAACTAAACTGAAAGATGTTCAAGAGAATAACGCTAAAATCAAAGAAGAAATTAAGAAAATTGAGCACGCTCGACGAAAAGCTGAGGAATCCATGCTTCAGTGTAAAAACCATATCAGGGTTTTGAAAGAGGAGAGAGATAAGTTCGAACAGTATCGAAAGGAGGCGGAGATTTACAAGGAGAAGCTCAAGTTGTTTGTAGACATGGAGAAGGTCATGCGTGGATCTATTTCAGAAGTAAACTTACTGCTTGGAGAACGCGGATCTTTTGACAAAGAAAGTCGAGATCTTGCAACCTTGGTGGTGGAACTAAAAAAGAAGTTGATAGATATGAAAAGAATGAAAGCACTGGCCGTGAGGAAAGCTGAAGACACGATGAACATGAGAGAAGAGGATCGTAGGAAAATATCTTCCCTCACTGTTCAGCTTAATGATCTTAAAGCTCTGAAAGACAGTTTGAATACAAGCCTGCAGACCGCGTACGATCAAATCACAAATTTAACTGAGAAAAAGGAAGAACTTCAGAGAAAGGTCTACTCCCAGGAGAAAACAATAAAAGACTTGAAGAAAAACTCCATCATGCCCCTGGTTGAAAGCAGTGAGGATGAGTCCCCGAAATCTCTCAAATCTCCGGCCGTGGAAACCCCCGAGGTTGCCTTTAAGTCCTGTGGTATCGCTATTGGAGAGAAACGAAAACCATTAAGTCAGAGTAATCATCTAGACCTGAAAAGACCAAAGTTGAGAATAAACCTGATGGAAGTTGGGACTCAAAAAGGACAGGTGGGTTATTATAGAGTTTTTAAAATTGTAACTCAAAATTGACAAATTTTGTTAATGTATAAAAAATCTTAAGTTTTTCCTTTCACAATCAATTAGTCAGCTGTGGCGGATCTAAAGACGACCTGTCTCCGAGCTCTAACCTAATGATCAAAACCATAACATTTTCCAAAATATTGTTTGGGGGGGGGGGGGGTTTGGTGGTACTTTTTTTTTCCCCAATATATTACAACCTAGAGATTATTTACAAAACTTTAAACTCTCAAAAAAAGTGAGACTTATTTCATTTTAACCAATTTTTTTCTAAATTTTTAAGTCGAGCTGTTCTATTAATATATTGTTTTGCTAGATGTATGACGGGATGGGAGGAAATACGAAACCTGACGTTTTCCCGGAACCGCTTCCAAGACATCTTAAGAAATCTGTTAAGAAAAGAACCAATACCTTGTCAAAAGTAGAAAAACAAAAACAAACAATCGATCGATTTTTTGGAAGTTTTGATTCGCCGTAGAGACATGAAATCTATATTTCAATGCTCAGTCTTTCAAGAAATCGATATATTTGTTTAGAGTGTTGTTAAGTTACTGTGATATTTATACAAAAATCGACCTTTTTTAAAGTTACTACAATAATTATATATGTTTCAGAAATATCTGATGAGTTCAATGTAGAAACAGGTGAGCTATTTCCAATTAATTACCAATTTTTGATTACTTGTAAATCACTTTTATATAAGTGATACAAGATTGAGACAACTTCATTTTCTTTCATTCCTTTCTTTTGTTTCCTATTCTCAAACGTTCTTTTATTTTCTCATTAATAAAGCATTTATTACTTCCGACACCCGCGAAAGATTAATTTAGAAGAAATATGTTCTACTTTTGTAGGAGTCGAGACGTAAGAATTAAAATATTTGACATTTTATTGTGTTTTAGTTACCCGTAAAAACAAACTAAAAATTGCCCGAAATATTCACGGTTTTTTTCCTAACAGGGGTGTATAATTTTCTTAAAAAAATAAATCCCGCCCCTTTTAGAAAATCATTTTTCCCCCCGCAAAATATCAAAAAGAAGTAAACCTTCATTAAAATTGCTTTTGACAATCCCATGAAATGAAAGATGATCAAACATATCGAGTGAAAAACCCCCAACTATTCTCTGTTCCTAGGATGAAGAGCAGTCCAAGAAAGAAATCTGGTCCCAGCTCGTGTTCTACTCCAGTAGAAATATTCTCCATTCAACAGTTGAACCGAATACCTACATCTGAACTGAGAAGTTTAGCCACAGAGAAACACGGGATAAAGAATGCCGGGCTTCTCAAGAAACCAGATCTTCTGTCCAAGCTGAGAGAACATTTTGAGAGCAAGCATGGTGTTGAGTTGAAGGATAATACTGAGGAGGGGGGACAGGACGTATCTCCTATATCTCAAACCATTGATAAACTTAGGAGCAGAATAAAGGTGAAGGGAATAATATGAAATTTTCTTGGATTTAGTAGGAAACAAAATACATAATTTATGGGTAAATGTAAATTCAAAATTTACATAACAGTCTTTTGTTTACAGTGTTATTTGAGGTTAACTTGCAACTATTTCATTTGTAATGTGAGATTATTTTTGGTACACAGATATGCGAGAACTTCTCATTCATTCTATTCTTTCTTTCATAATTTTTGTTAAGTATATACTTCATTCAATTATATTTTTTAATTTTCCGTTTCCAGAGGTCGAATTTAAAGAATTTGAGCCGCGATTTAAATTTAATACCGCAGCTTAACTTTAAATCGCGGCTCAAATATGGTTGGTTCTTGAAGATACTAATTGTTTAATTGACAATATTTAAGGATAAGAATACAGAACCCAGTGAAGAAGAAGTAAGAAAACCGGAGGAGAACCTTGTTGGAGGCGCGGATAGATTAATAGAGCTCGCAGAGCACGCTCTTGCAGCCCCTATACCTAGCGCGCATCCTCAACAGATAGAAATAGTCACAGAAACTGTTCTGGATCAGGATGGAATCCAGGTTATTGAAACCACGGAGTCAGCAGAACCTCAGTTTGATCCCTCCGATGTTATAAGTGAGGAGGTTATTGGAAACTCTGAGGAAACCCTCTACGAGGAGTATATAACCACGGACGATGTTGAGATCATTGAAGAGGGTGAGGTTCTTGAAGAGGAGGAGGAGGAGGATAGTATGGATTGTGTGTCCAGCACTTCTAATATAAGAACAAGTTATAAACTAAACTCTGGCAAAGCTTGTCACGGATACGTGGTGGCTAAAACTGTTAAAGAACTCCGAGATCTAGGTCGTGACATGCTTAGAATTCACGCTGAGAACCACGGCATAGATCACGCCAGTAGACTCAGGATGCCTGAGCTACTCAAGGAAGTGATCGAACACTATAATGAGATTCATAATGCATGTTTAGAAGTCAGTAAGCTGGAGATGTTAAAACTAAACATGCTGAAACTAAAAAAGATTAAGGTTGACGTGAGAGAAAAAACACCTCCTCCTGATTTTAGTAAACTTATCCCTAAGAACGTAGTTCCGCTGGAGGAACAGGTTCATCATGTTTATGAAAAGAGACCAGATGTTTGTACAGTAGATATTATTGTAAATAATCTCAAGGATATGCTTGCTCTTGGCACATCTATTCTTCGTCCTGAAGCCTCTAAACATAGGGTAGCAAACTCTTCAAGAAAACAAAAACTGCAGGTTGGTTATTCTTTAAAATTGGTTTAATTGGTTCTCTAATGTTCACAACACCCTGAATGCAGTCTGGGGTCACCACGTTTGATTCCCTTTCAGATTTAAACTTGATTTGATTTGTGTTAATTTAAAATATCTCTTTTCTATCTTTGTTGGCCGTTCAGTAGTTCAGCCAATTATCAATCTTTTTATTAAATATTATTAATTGATATTTCAATTTTAAGACCATTGACATTTTGTAATGATACGAAATATGTCTATATGTTTGTTTGTATCCAATAAACGGTCTATATGTTTGTTTGTATCCAATAAACGCCAAAACGGCTTAACCGATCGGGCCCAAATTTTTTTTGGGACCTCACGTGACCCCAGGGAAGGTTTATGAATGATCAAAATTTAAAAAATTTGTGTTAAAAAGTTTTTTATTTTTGAAAAATTTTGAAAATGCGCAAAAAAATATTATGAAATCCACAAACTTTTTTTGTTTTTGTTTTATACTGTAAAAAGCGAAGATGTTCAGAGATAAAGCCACAATTAAAGGTTGAAATAGAAGATGGGCCCTAAAAGCCTAGTATTTCTATATTTTAAAACGTTTTCTGACCAGATATACGTTTTTTTAAAAATAATTAGCTTTACAATTAGCTCATAAACATCCTGCCGTGTTACTAATAAAACGGTGACATTAATGTCTTATTTCTTCTTTATATTTAAAGAGACTGTAAACGTAATTTCAAGTGACCCTTCATGCAAATATGACTGCCCGATTTACAACGGTACTCTTTTAAGCTTTGTCTAATCAAGTATGAATTGGATATCAACGTTTTTGTTTCTTTTTAAACTGTTTTTTTTTTGTATTCGAGTGACTTGTGCATTCCTTGTTCATAGGTAGCAACGGAGACACTTGAAATAAACACTTATCGAGTCAAAAAAAACGACGGTTTCTTCCACATTTTTGATAAGATAAGATAAAGGGTATCATTGTAAATCGGACATTGTCATCTTTGCATGGAGGTTCACTTGAAATTTTACTTACAGTCCCTTTTAAAATCCCAAAGAATTTTGTTATTTGTAATTGTTGTAAGCAGTGCTTAGGATCCGGATCCGCTAGATCCGCATTATTTTGGCTCTCTGGATCCGGATCCGGATCCAAGCACAATTTTATTTTTTAAAATGTGCAAAACGGCGTTATTTTACCTTAAAAATATCTTATTTTGAATTTTTACACAGATTTTAAAAATATTCTCAGGGTCTCAGGTTTCTATCTTGCTCAAATCTTAACTCAGACCTCCACCGTGCACCCCTCCCCC